CAATACAAATTGAACTTCTACTCTGTTCCAGGCACCTCTAGACCCTACAATATGCAATTGTATTTCTTTTTCACATGTTATATGCAATCTTATTCTAGAACTGTTTGGAGCTGACCACACCATTTACTTCTCACTTAGAGATGATAAGAATGACTTGATGAAATAAGATGTAGTTTGCATGGAGTGTTCCAGAATGCCTGGCCCTTGGGGGTTCACTGAACCCCGTTCTCCTCTTGAGAGTGCCATTTTCGGTGCACCCACAGTTAAATAACTGTATTACAATGAAATCCAACAGGGGTCTATTATCATCAACCGTCACCACTGAACCGATGTCTCTTGACACTTCTGCCTATCAGATGCTCTTTGAGAGTTGAGGCCAGTGGTCCATGCTCAGTGAATATGAGTAAAATGACTTTCCTTAGCAGCTTTCTGAATACACTGTCAGAACAGATTTCATTTTCCAATGAGGAATCCTGGAGACCACAGGAGGTACAGTATTCAGAACAATGGGCGTCATTCCAAGTGCTAATGTCTCCTCTTGGCTGATATAGTGCTTCTCAAAAATTTCCACAGGAGAGTGCACTGTGGGGAACTGGCGGCACAGTCCTGTGCAGTTATTAAAGTCATAAAATGTCTGTGAAGTCAGCTATATTATTTAAAAAATTGAATTTCTATTTTATTCCATATCTTTCCTAGGTATTTTAAAAATAGCATCTTTCTTTTTAAAAAAAAAGTTTTATTGATTTTTTAGTGAGAAAGGGAGAGAGAGATAGAAACATCAATGTGAGATAGATACATTGATCGGCTGCCTCCTGCATACCTCCTACTGGGGATCGAGCCCACAACCTGGGCATGTGCTCTGATCAGAATCAAACCGCAACCTCAGTCCATGGAACAAAACTCAATCCGCTGAACTACACCAGCTGGGCAGCATCTTTCTTTTTTTTTTTTTTCCTCACCCGAGGTATTTTTCCATTTTATGTACAGATAGAGTGGGAGGGAGAGAGAGGAAGGGAGAGAGAGAGAGAGAAACATCGACGTGAAGGGACACATCGAGTGGCTGCCACCCGCACGACCAACCAGGGCCGGGGACAAACTGCAACCGAAGTATGTGCCCTTAGCGGGAACCGAACCCGGGTCTCTCCAGACCGCAGGCCGACGCTCTAACCGCTGAGCCAAACTGGCCAGGGCGCAGCATCTTTCTTTAATAAGAAACACTTTTCTTACCTAGAGAACAAGGAAGTGTAAATTGGGCTGACATGGCCCACGGGGGAAATCAGTGGCAAAGGCTGTTAATGAAATGAGGTTCTACCTGAGTAAGGCAGAGATAACTAGAGATAATCAATTGGAGGATCTTTTTGTACACTGCTTTGAAAAACTGGTCCAATCAAATCTGGTTGTAGATGTCTATCTATGGTTTGTAAACATGTGTAACTATGACTGACTTCTTAATAAATTACAAACTAAATTTTGTAATAAAGATCAAATTCTAGCCCTGGCCAATGTGGTTGGATCATTGGCCCAAGAACAGTAGTCTCAGGTTTGGTTTCCTGTTCCTGTCAAGGGCACGTACCTGGATTATAGGTTTGATTCCCAGCTATGGTTGGGGCATGTGCAGGAGGCAACTGTCTGTCTCTCATTGATGTCCCCCACTCCTCCCATCCCTTACACTTGCTCTATAAAGTCAATGGAAAAAATATCCTCAGGTGAGGATTAACAACAAAAAGATTGAATTCTTGACTTCATTATCCCTCCTGAATATTTCATGTAGTTTTAAAAATTTAGATGCAATTTAGGGCTTGTTAAAAATAATTGAGGCAAATCCTAATGAGAGAATTCCCAGGGACTTCTGGAGGGCTAATTTAAAAATACCTGATATTGGCCCTGGCCAGTTTGGCTCAGCGGTTAGATCATCAGCCTGCGGTCCAGAGAGACCCGGGTTCGGTTCCCGCTAAGGGCATGTACCATGGATGCAGTTTGTCCCCGGCCCTGGTTGGGTCGTGCGGGTGGCAGCCACTCGATGTGTCCCTTTCACGTCGATGTTTCTCTCTCTTTCTCTCTCTCTCCCTCCCACTCAATCTGAACAAAAAATGGAAAAATGTCCTCGGATGAGGATTAAAAAAAAAAAAAAAAGTTAAAAAAAAAAAATACCTGATATTGTACACAAGGAGGGGACGCGTATGAGACAGCAACTATGGCCCCACTTTTGGTTTGTTGTATAGCATCCCAGGAAATGCTTGGTCTGTCACTCTGCATCTGGTATATAAGTGGCCAAACAGAAATGGGCCAACATGAACAGAAATAATCTCCCTCTTAAAATCATCCAGTGGTTCCAAACTCCTTTACATGGCACATTGAGCCCTCCATGACATCACTTCCTGACCACCACCCCCGCCCCGGACCTTTACAAATTGTTTTCAAACACGAAGTCACAGCCTGTTAGTGGGGTTGTGAAATCAGTTTGGTGGGTTGCCACCAGTATTTTCAGAGTGGGGGATAATAAAATAGAAAAGGGAACATGTATGGGACACCCAGCATCATTTTGCAAAATACCGGTTTCTGATATATGTACATGGGTGTCGGGTTGTGTATAGGTACCAGATTATGCCGTTAGACTGTATTTTTTTCCTTAGGTTAATATCCAAATGTCTGAAAGCTACTGCTCCAGGTGCAGCCTCTCCCATCTTCCTGCCTGCTCTTTCAGAACTTCATGCCTCTGCACACGCAAAGTATTTTTCCTTGTAGGTCTGGCAAACAGTGACTTGTTTTCGAGTCTATTCAAGCATCACTTCCAACGTGAACTCTGCTCATATCCAGGTCATCAGAAATTGGTCACACAAACCTTTTTCACAGACTCAGTCTGTGAGCTTCAGAAAGAACTGCCCAGGCCTTGCTCATTTTTGGGTCTTCAGTGTTCAGTAGTCTACTCTTAAGAGCTTATTAAATATTTGTTACTGAAGCTCTAAGCTCAATGAGCTGCTATTTACTTTTTAAAAACATCTGAAGCCTGAAAACGAGTCTCTTAAAAGTTTAAAACATATTCTGTTAAAACTTATTTTATTATGCTACTTTATTTATTGTGATTATATTCATTTTACATTTTAGTAAAAAGAAAAATAGCCAGGATAGCAGTCCATCTCCAAGAGAGCAGTTTAAATGCTGTTTTTATTACTTTTATTTGCTACCAATATTCTTATGGTAAGAAATACAAAAAGCAAGATAAATGTACAAACATTTTTTCTTTTTGCTTACATTTAGCTCGTGTATAAGTGAAAACAACGAAATGAACAGTAATAAGTCAACACCAATTCTTAAAAAACAATAAGTTTCCCGTTATCTGACAATAAATAGCTACATTTGCATTCTAGCACCCAGTAAGACATCCAGTTTCCAAAGGATTATTGATCTGTAACCCTCTGAATTTTCTGACATGTTACCTTAGCCACTGCAGAGTTCACTGTCGGCAGCTCTCTCTCCAAGTACATCTTAGAGGAAGGCGCATGCTAGAATGGCTACCCTTGACCTCAGACACCTGGGGTCATAAAGCAGCATTTACTTGAGCTACTTTTAAAAACAGACGGCTACTGATGGGGTATTTAATGTAAATTTTTGTGGTTGTCGCTTATACAGTTTACAGTACACAAACATCTACTTTTAAATTTTCTTCTTCAGGTGGGAAAAGTCTAGATACATTGATATGTATTTTCATCTACCTACAGGGAAAGAAGCAAGATCATTCAGCTCAGGGTGCTATGAAGAGGACAGCTTTACAGATAAACTTTAGTTCCTTTTTTTTTGGCCTCAGGAGGGATAGTCACTAGAGGGAGACCGGCCTCCCTATTCTGTCCTGTCTGCACCTAAGGCCATTTTTCTTTAAGGGTAAATGATCCGGGTATGTAGGAAGATTCCCTGCTTTCAGAGAGCTGCACCGCACCCCGTTTTAGAGAGCACAGGGTTTATGTGCCCTGTGAGGAAGAATACCCAGGTGGACCTGCCAGGCCAGTGTGGTAACTCTCAATCTTGTGCACAGAGAAAAGAGTAGAAGCCTTATCTAACATCAAACCAACTGCCAACATTCTTGTAAGACTGTATTCCAGACAGTACATTTCCACACTGCTTTTTTGACCTGCTGAACCCAAAGCACCAAAAGAGCATTCTGTAGCAATATGAGCAAACGGAATGAGAGTAATTTTGCACCTTCAAGAAACATGCACCCTTATAAGTCTGTACCCTGATATATAAAAGGCAAAATGAGTTTCAAGTATGAAGAAATACAGTAAAAGGATAGTCTGTAAATGGATAGAAAACAGCAGCCTGAAATGTGGTTTGTATTCTTGGTTAGTTTGACTTGCTTTATAATTCAAGATATATACAAAGATGCTAGAGGCATTTGTAATTGGTGTTGTGAGCACACTCTGTGCCCAGCACCAGGAGCCTTCTCTTGATGACTGTGGTCAGCGGAAGGTCAAGTAAGGATGGAGGCCAACCCTGAGCATACCCATGATGCTGAAAGTCTCTCTCATCATGTCCCTGATGTCAAAAGTGCAGCAGAGGAGGATGTAGAGTATCACATGGACTGGCCAGGATGGGGTCAGGGAGCACCTCAGAGGCAAGGAGGAAGAGATGGCAGGGGATGGGCAAGTATCTGTTATCCTGGGCTGGTTTACACAGTCTGGATTAGTATCTGACATGCATGCGCACAATCTCTACATCTCCAGAACTGTGATTTCAAACACAGTAACCAACAAACCAAATGTCCAAATTAAGATTGTTTTTCTACTTTTATTACAGTTTTTTTTCTTTATTGATTTTAGAGAGAGAGAGGAAGGGCGAGGAAGAGCTAGAAACATCAATGAGAGAATTATCGATTGGCCACCTCCCGCATGCCCCCCACTGGGGATTTGGCCCACAACCTGGGCATGTGCCCTGACCGGAATCGAACTGGCAACCTCTTGGTGCATGGGTTGATGCTCAACCACTGAGCCACACCGGTTGGGCTTTTTTCTACTTTTAGAACATTTTCTATTTTAAGTCAAAAAAAGAAAAGCTCACTGGGTGTGCTATCCTTGCTGAAACCTAGAAGAAAGTTTTAACTAGGCCCTATGGGAATGCAGAAACACTCATACATTCCCACATCTCAGAAATGATAATCCTGTAAGACCCTCTAGCTCTAACCTGCACTCTCCAGGCACTGATATTGTGCTTTTCTTAACACATACTGCTCTGCTAGACCAAACACTTGCCATTTAACTTTCAGATCAAAACCTAAAATACAGAAATGCAACAAGCTTTTGAAGTTGTTGGGAACTGTTGATTGTTAAGGTCCCACTGTTGACTATTGTACACACAGTCCTTATTTTTATTACCAGACATACTGCTTCTGTACAAAAGTAAGTTGCATGTTGGGAACTGTTGGTTGTTAAGGTCCCACTGTTGACTATTGTACACACAGTCCTTATTTTTATTACCAGACATATTGCTTCTGTACAAAAGTAAGTTGCATGAGGGCACGGAAACTTGGACTTCTCCATCTAACACGTTCTGGAAGCTTCAAGGCACAAGCTGACAGTTCTGCTTCTACAGAAAACTCTTACACTGCTCTCCTTTCAACAGTACTACTGTTCCTACTACTGCACACGACACCTACGAGGGCACTAGATGGCATGAGGAAAGCTTCTTCTCAAGGCCAGATAAGAGGCACTGCCTAGGCATCTACTATCTCTGCCTGGCATCTGCTCCGATGTCCCTCTGGCAGAGTTTCTAAATTAAGGCCATATCTGATGCTTTTCTATCTGTAGTTTTTATTTTTGCTGTATTTCCACACTATATTATATTCATATTTGACAAAAGAACAACTACAAAGTCCTTTACTTTGATTCCTTTACATAACGATAATTAAAACATCTAGACACACAAACACTATATCTATAGACTTAAACTCTACCATCATGTTAAAATGCATGCAGCTTATTTGGGGGCTTAGTCTAATTTTTATCTTCTTAATTCCATCAAGACCATGATAATGAACCTTAAATGCATATCTTAATATGGTTTGCTTTCAGTGGTACTTTCACAGGACTAGTGTGATACAGAAATAAATAATATAAATGAATAATAATAGAAATAATTTATGCAAATGTAGAAAAACTTGAAATAGATATTCCTCACCTTGTTAAGTGCTGATCCTAAGGGTAGTTGATCCTATTCACTCCATATACTATGTATTTATTACTTGTCATAGTAAAATAAATGGATGCAAAGTAAGTGAGGAACTATAATAGTCATGTATACATTGTTGCAAACACAGGACCAAAATACGAAGATATATATTGTACTTGGGGTGGGGGAGTTCAAGAAATGTATTATTGCTGGAACCTATTTTCATTATTCAGAGACTTCAAGGTCAAATTCAGAGTTGCTGGTGAGCACAGAACTATTGCTAGCTAGCACATATTATTTCATGTCATAAAACTTAAAATTAGAAACTTTCAGGTGAGGGTATAAAGGGTATCTTCAGGACTGTAATCTAAGAACATGAACAGAATTTGGTTAGAAACCACAGTGACTTAAGAGATAAAATAACTGTGTGGCTCTATGCTTGCTGATTAGTGCTACAGTCATAGTTCTTGGTAGTAATAAGTACAGTTATGTGCCCCCTTTAAGAAAACCTACAAGTGACGATCCAAACTCCTAAGATATAGAAGGGTTGATTATTTGCTTAATGAAACAATTCACACAAAAGTTCCTCTAAACAGGAAAATCCCCTACTACATGAGACAATTTGCCTACATATCTTTAATTACTTGACAAAGAAAAAAGAGAAAGAAAAAATTAGAAACAAAGAGGAGCTTTTGCCAACCAAGGATGAAGCAGGAAATAAACAAGTTTTCACAACAAAACTTTTGCACGCATATCTTTTGCCATCACATATGTAGAATGACAGAAAATAAAAAAATAAAAAAATCTTTCTTGTAATTATACATCTTCTCTTAAAAAAAAAAAAGCAACTGAGCTTAGAGCTTGAGAGATGCCCGATAGCTTCATACAGAGCAGCATCTCTTTGTTACACCTGAACTTCCGGAGAATTGTGTTGTACTTATTTATGCACAGAAGACACCCGTTTGCTTCTCGGGACATTTTATGTCCTAAGATTGCAAAACAGATGCCTCTGAGACAGCAGCAGGCACGTGGACCACGGACAGTTTCCCGCCGGGTCGTACATCCTTTTAGCACTAACAGGTGAGCCGTGGGCGGGTCCCAGCCAGCTCCGCCCACTGCGGCTCTACTGCCAAAGGGGCAGGTGACCGAGCAGTGCCCCTGGTTTTCGGGCAGGAGCGACGTTTTGAATAGGAGCAAATACAATTCGGACTGGCCTAAGGGATAACAAACTCGTGGTTTAAATTCGGCCTTAAATCGTAACCTGCTTCAGTGGGATGTTAAGCACAGGGATGAGGTGGACGATTTCCCAAAGTGTTTTGATAGCCCCAAGGGTGTGCGTTATTTGGATTCAGTCTGAATTACTGAGACTTGCCTCCTGGCTACTCTTTAGCAAAGTTAAGAAGGCACTATGGAATTTCTGTCACTCATTAGGAATAAACTGCCTTCTGTTATGCTGTGTTAAGGAAACTGAAAAAATACTGTAATTTCCTTCCTCCTAAATTTCAGTGACACTAGTGGGGAAAGTGACTTAAAATCAACTAAAATCTGGGGGTTAATGGGTCTCTGGGCAGACCTGTGAATTAAAACAGGAGTAAATGGACATCTATATTTATATCTATAATCAAGTTGCCAAAAAAACTTCAGGAATGGAAAAATTAAAGACTTGTGTAGATACACTCCTAAATTATCATGTTCATATGTTTAGACAAAATTTTTTTAAAACTGTAATTTCTTGTGAATTTATACTTGTGATTATACAAATGTAAAAATTACCAGGTCTTTTAGTGTTTCAGGGCTGTTTCAGCATAGCTGATTCTTTAGAAAAACTAGTTTTGCTATTTAATAACTGATGTTACTTATTTTGTTCATTTGATTTTTAATTGATTAAAAATTTAATAAATGTCTAAAGGCCACCACGGTAGGGAATGTAGGGAATGGAAGAGCAGCAGATGGGGGTTTGGTACTTGGGCTGGGGGCACTGGGTGAGTTTTACACTCCTAACAAAACTGAGTGTTGCCTTTTTAGTAATAAACCTGTTCATCTTTAAATCTGCACTTAGAAAAATGAGGTAATTAAGTACCTCAAAAAATGTCTCTTAAATAAATGAATGCCTAGGCTTTCTTTACGCACTTAAATGATAAAAGTGAGTGTATTATCTATTCTCCAGAATAATTTAATTGCAGACAATCCTTCAGAACCTAGCTAACCACTAAAATATCTAAGTTACATAGTAGTATGAGGACTATTTGCCATCCTGAAAACCAAGTGCTAGGCAAGAGTTAAGTATGTGCAGAAAAATAAAATAATAATGAAATTAACAAAAATAACCCTTTGGACTTGCTCCGATTCCCACCTACCCCTCCCACCCAGGACCCTGAAAGTGCCACCTTGTGGAATATACTGGAATAAAACAAGAAAGCTCTCCTAGGACAGTGAATTTTAAAACATACCTTTGCATCTCTTTTTCCTACCATATTAATTTCTAATTGCTGTAACAATTTAAGTGGATGCTTGAAAAAAATCCAGTATTTATTTTCAGGTGGCTCTTGTTTTCTTCCTGAAGGCCAGAGCACCAGTCCATTCATTTATCTAAATTAACTCCTTTGGACTGCTGAGAAATAGAAACCATTTTGAAAAGCCCATTTGTACTTCAAAAAACAAAACTAAACACACACACACACACACACACACACACACAGAGACACACACAGACACACACCCCAAATTGAAAAAAAAAAAGATTTAAAATTTTTTTGTTGTTGTTTTCAAAGGATAGAAGATAGGAAAGGCCAAAGAATATTTTCAGTTTATTTTCTGAACAAGTACATGTTAGAAATGCTTGAGATATAGGTTTGTAACAAAACTAGGTTGAAAATTGCATTGATAAGAAATTAAAATGCTATTTTCTTACGAGTCTGAGGAAAACACCATCACTAATTATCTGAGGACTGACATTACTTGATAGGCTTCTGGTAGCCCCAGCAAGTTTTTCTGCTGTGGGGAAGGAATATGTGACTCTTCCTAATCATACATCTGAACGCACTGAATGCATGTGCACATAATAAATGGTCTGGGTTTCACAATTTTTCAAAAGGCATAGGAAACATATGCCTTTCTAAAATTTACTTAAAAAAAAAAAAAAGAGAACACTCTTAGGCTTGCATAACAAGTGTAGCTTCATATGGCTGCTGCTTTCCATGAAATGAGAAAGGAATACAGATGGTTCAGTTTGCTCAGCTCAACTTTTGAAATGGTCATTGTTTGGAATGATTTCTCCAAGTTCAACATAACTTCTTACAATGTATTTGTTAAAATATATATCCCCCAAAATGCCTTTCACGTTGAAATATCCTTCTTTGAATACCTTCATTTTCTCTAGAATTTCCTCTATTGACTGCCTGCTGTTTTATAATTTTTAAAAATTTAGAAATAATTTAACATCTTTATTTTTATAAAAGACATTATTTTTAGGTGTCACAGTGTAAAACATGCATTCTTTTGAATTCTATCAATAGCTATGAATTTATAATATTTCAATATTTTCTTTCCAAAGTCAATATGCTATAGTCTGTATACTAACACAATTAAGTAATTATTGGGGTTTATTAAACTTTTAATGTTATTCTTTCTTAGACCCAACTATGCAACAGAAGTCTGCTTTTGGAAAATGTGTAACACTCTCATGTGCTTATCATAAAAACAGTCAAGTTGTCACTTAAAAGAAAAGGAGCAATTCTTTGGAGAGAAGAATTTTAATGTTTATGGTATTAGGAATTAACATGATTTAATTTCCATAATGAAATGAGAATTGCCGTTACTGACTTTTATAGGCCCTACTTTTAAGAGAAGCAGCTATAGTTAGTTAAAAGCTCGTTTTAAATATATAATTTAAGATGCAAAATGTTTGGTACAATTTAAGTTTTCTTCTCATCATTATGGATAGTACCATATCCTGGAGTCAAACTATAAGATTCTCTATTAATAGGTACATATTTTCTTTAAGATATTAACATCCTGTACATTCTGAAATTTTCATTTTGACTAAAACTAAAAGGCCAAGATTCTATTCTTAGGTGAATATTTTAAACTATTTTTAGTAAGTCACCTGGGGCTAGACAAAAAGTCTGCCATTCACAGTGTGTGTTTCCTGAGAGAAAATCATAAGGATACAGGGGGGCTGAAATGGCCGGAGCTTGCTTCCATAACTGGTTCTTTGCTCCTTGAGTTCCCATCCACTTCATAGGAGAGATGGAGTGGGAGGCTCCAATGCACTGGATTCTTACAGCTTTTACAAATTGTGTTTTGAAGGTTATGAGGCTAGGTCTTTATTACCCTTTGCCATACAATAGCTATGATGACTAAAGGGGCAAGTTTCTTCTTTACTCTTTTTAAATGTAGTTTTTTACAACTCCATCCTGTATAACAGTTCCCACAATGCCTGGGCCACCAGGATGGAATATCACATAGAAATGATCATGTACATTCTTGGACCAGACCTGGAAAGAAATTCAAATATGATTTCAAATCTCTCACCATATTTTTACTGCTCTAAGCTGCTTCAGTATAACTCTGGGGCAGTCTGACCTTTTCAGCTGACCACTGCCTCAAGGCAAGGATGTTTGAAAACACATGTCACAGCAGAATAAGCTATGTTCAGTAAGTTTGCATTCTGCAATATGCTTCAAAGAGCCCTACTGGCAAGTGTGCTTGTGTGGGATCTGGATTTCAGAAGCGGTGAGCCTGATGTAAATGACATAAAACAAGAGAGTAATCACTCAAGTGTCACAACCACAACCATGGAAGAGCTGGGGACAGACTCGTAACAAGTTCAGAAAGGCTGAGATGCCCTCTCAGAGGGTAATCTGCCAAGTATCTAACACCAAAATGTTTGTGCTTTAAGTTTTCTTTATAAAAACTACTGTGAAGTGAACCCAAAACATATGCTGGAAATAAAAGTTGAGCTTTTACTTGTTTCAAATTCTAAAAAATGCTGACAAAATTCCAGTTTAGAACAGCTGCATTTTTCTTGAGCAAACTTAATGAAAACTTTTGCAAAAGCAAAAACTCAAGTTATGTTCTCTCTAATCATGGATACTAACTGAAAAGCTCATGATCAATCAGTGCAGTGAGTTTTAAAATGCAATTTCTAGGCCCCAGCAAACATGTCTTTGGATGTTGCCCCAATCAAAGCAAAGGCAGAACTCACATTTCTAGGGGAGACTGCGAGTACACCTTGCCCTAGATGCTCTGGATTCACTTTATCTCAAGCATTTACAGTGATGACCAAACAAAATGCTGTCACAATGAAGAAAGTGTAAAACATTCTTATGGCCCATCTTCTCATCCATATCTTGCTTTAGAAAAATTTTCCTCTCTTCAAGTTACTGAATCAGAACAATGTTAAACAATATATGCATTAAAAGAGAATGGCTCCTGATCTAAAGAGCTTTTAAGGAGAAAACTCTTCTAATTTTTCTCTTGTTCAAGGCCATCATCTATATTATCAAGCAGCGAGGGATTCAGTAAGGCTCGACTATGTATAAACATCACCTGGAACATTTTCTACTAAGTGAAGCAATATCCATGCTTTGAAAACTCTAATCCTAAACATGGTCTAACTGTTGCATGAACCCAAAACATGAGTCAGAAGGCAAAGGTAGCTAAATTCCCCAAATATACTTACAATCTGTGTCTTCTGGTTATTAGAGCCAAGTTAGCACTTGCCACAAATAAGGCAAGGGATGGTATGAAACATATAAAGCACTACAGAGAAAATGCAAGAGCAAAAGTAAAGCTGTTCACAATGCCCGAGTCAGGCTGGCTCTGTCGAGAGTAGGAGTGTGCACGAGGCACTGGAAATGAGCACAGCCTGGGGGATGGAGAAAAGATTGTTTTATAGACTAAATATTTCCTTCTAAAAAATACTTAAAGATATTCCCTCAGATACTATGCTGACAATATACTCCATACAAACGCAAAACACTAAGTAACAGTTAAAGCAATCTATGTGCTGCTGATAGAGAAGAACCAGTCTTCCGCTCATTGCCTACGTAGCAACAGTGAATGCCGGGTAGGAAGACTGCATTATAGCGAGAGCATAGTTAGGACTGTGGAATTGGAGCCATAAGCCATAGTCTGAATCTATTTACGAAAGGTTCAATAAAAGAAAGAAAGAAAGTGCATGCAAACAGCTTAAGCAATCTGTTGTGAGTCATGCAGTGGTAGTAAAAAAAAATATATATATATATATATATTAGAGGCACTGGGGGATAGATAAGACGAATACTTCGCAAACAAGGCAGTGCATTGTAGAAAAAGTACAGTGTAATAGGTGGGGAAAACGTAACTGGCATTCCTGCCTCTAGCCAGAGAACTCTCCAAACCAAACCAAGAAACAGTTTCTGACGGATGCCTAAAATAAAAAACAATTCAACAACAACAAAAACAAAAAGGAAATACACTTCAAACCAAGAAATAAAAGCTTTCTCTATTTTTTTTTTGACAATTTTACTCTTTGAGGTACATTTCTTGTATCTATAGCAAGTAAGAAAGAGTTTATAGAGTATTTTTTTTTTTCAAAAGAAACAATATAAAATGGACTTAGAATGAGTCAATTCAGCTTTTTGAAGAGTAAATGGAATGTGTGCTTTAAAAAATAGGTCTCTTAAAAGATAGAATTTTTTCCCCTTGTCTGCTGTGTGTGTAAAACTTCATCTAGATAGTGAACCTTTTACTACTAAACAAATTTACTACTTTGAGCCACAAGAGAAATTCTGAGGACAAAGGCTCAACTTTATAATCTGAGAAGCCCTTCAGTGAACAGATGCCTGTTATTTATGGGTCACTTTGAGTCTCTAAAATTCAATTATTCTTGTCGTTTACAGAAAATAACACTTTAAGAGATCAAGGATCACACACACATACACACGTACACACACTCATTCAAAAGTACCAAATCAGGCTCCGGCAGCTGCAGAGAGATTACATCAGAACTCAGCTGTGCCTGGATTGCTCACTTGACACTGGCAGCATTCAAGGTTAGAAAAATGAAATGGCAGCACAATGGTCAGCAGCTTCTCTTCTTCTGGAATTTTTCCAGGTTTTTTGAAACAAACAGACAGACAGACAGACAGACACACAATGAATGAACATAAAGCTGCAATCATTCTTGCATTGATTTTAAACAGTAAACTAGGCGGTTTCCTTGGAGAAGCAGAGCCCATCCAGAAGACGGCAGTGAGAAGCTCTCCAGCCAGTGAGTGATCTTCAACAGCTCTGCAGGGCTTACTCAGGGGGCCCATCAGCCACCAACGCTGTTCTGCAGGTGATCCGCTCCAGGCAGCGGCTGCAGCTCAGGCTGTATTCATCTCCGAGCTATTCTGGCTGGGCGGCAGGTGGGAATCCAGGTTCTCCTTGCGCCTCTCCAGGTCGTGGAAGTATGGGTGAGACAGGGCACCGTAGGCAGATATTCTTTTGGCTGGGTTAAATGTCAAGCACTTCTGTGATAAAGAAAAAATAATTTATTGACATAAAACATGTCCGTTTAAAAAATGTGCTCGCCCTGGCTGGTTTGGCTCAGTGGTTGGAGGGTTGGCCGTAGACCAGAGAGATCCGGTTTCTGTTCCCACTAAGGGCACGTGCCTCGGCAGCAGTTTGTCCCTGGCCCAGTTGGGGTCGTGTGGGTGGCAACCACTCAATGTGTCTCTCTCACATGGATGTTTCTCTCTCTCTCTTCCTCCCTCTCGCTCTATCTGAAGATGAATGCAAAAAAAGAAAAAAAAATGTGCTCATATAATTATACATCTTCACTGCTATGAATTATGTGCATCTATAATAAGACAGTACCCATCTTATATATGTCCTTAATCTATACACTGCCTCTCAGGAAAAGGCAACACCCTTTTGGGTTGCTTGTGGACTGTTACTACCCAGAATTTCTCTGCAACATACTCCAGGTCCTTTAAAAGATATTATTATTATTATTATTGTAGTATGCATATAACTTTATTTAGGTAGTGATTTTCTAATGCTAGCAAACTTAGGGTTATCGTCGGAGACTTCACCCTAGCTTTTAACTTCTCCCCAAGGTTTGTCAATGATCAGAAAATGGCAGGGTGTTGTTCAGCTGTAGAGGGTAATTACCAAACTACTCTCCAAACCAAAACAGTTTCTGACAAATTCCTAGAATAAAAAATGAAACAAAATAACAACAAAAAACAAACACATTTCAAGCCAGGAAATAAAGGCTTTCTCTATTGAGGAGGCAAGTAAGAGCTAAAACCTAGATCCCGATTATCCCAGCCTTCTAGCAAGCCACCTACCCTGCCCCAGGGCTGCACCACAGAAGGGATGCCGTCCTTCTAATCCACATCAAGGTGCCCTGTGGGCTAGCAGCCTCCCTCTGAGGAATCCATTAGATTCCATTCAAGTCACTAAACTCCAAGTGCAGGTAGAGGTGAAAGGAGGAAAAGGTGAACCTCTGGAGCAGCAATCTCCCTTCCAAAACTGTTGATTGTCAATTAGTCAGAAAGTTTCCCTAATCTCAGCTCCATTTCCAATCCAACCCCAAGCAATCTTATTCTTCAAATCCCCCTCCTCTCCTTCCACCAGCACCCCCAGAGGGCCTGACAGGTGGCAAGCACTGCCCCAGGAGTTCACAAGTAGCAGAGAAGCTATACCAGCTTTTCCATCCTTGTGATAGGGGGTCCACTGAAGTGAGCTGGGTATCTAACATGTCTATGAATTTGAGTCTTCTATGCAATCTAAGGACTTAATATTATCATGGCTATGCAGACCACTTCCATTTAATTTGGGTTTCTGCTCTTAAGGAGATCAGTTGAATGCTATAGACCTAGGAAAATATGTACAAATAAAAAATTCTATATATAATTTCAGGTGAATTTTAGGGTCCCCTGAAACCTTATTTATCCTGACCTCCCTACCAGTCCATGGATGCTACCCTCCTCATAGTGCAGTGGTTTTCAACCTGTGGGTCGCGACCCCTTTGGGGGTCGAACGACCCTTTCACAGGGGTCGCCTAAGACCATCAGAAAACACATATTTCCGATGGCGATTCATAATAGTAGCAGAATTACAGTTATGAAGTAGCAACGAAAATAATTTTATGGTTGGGGATCACCACAACATGAGGAACTAACTGTGTTCAAGGGTCGCAGCATTAGGAAGGTTGAGAACCACTGTCATAGTGCCTTCTGAAAATCAAAGAGCAAAAGGACAAGCAGAGGAAGGAGCTTGTTCACTGAGTGGTTCTACTGTCTCTAGTAACAATAAACATCTTGAGAAAAGCTGCACAAGGAAAGGCTGAATTTCCAAAGGATAGGAAAGCAAGGGCGAAATTCTCAAGTCTGAGTTCTCTCTTCCCAGAGTCTAAGAAGGAGAAAATTAGGTAGTGGCATTAGAAAAGGAAGCAACCAGTTTAACCCCCAGAACACAGGAAAGAAGAAGAAAAGTTATGGGAATATGTTCAAGACACAGAGATATGTCCCTAGAGGATTACCTGGGAGGAAGCCCTGTCCCCACAGTTATACCGACAGCTTAGAGCTGGAAAGCGGGCAGAGAGGGCCTTAGCCTAATGTGGGTGTATGTGAGAATCTCAAGTTGGAAGTCTTAATACATTATGTCCTACAGAAATATTGTTAGATGAGGCTAAAATCTATCATTGCTCTACTCCAATACAGCAACTGGCTGGAGAGTTAAAAAAATCTTGTGTAATAATATTGTTTCTGCAAGAAAATTTAATTTACTTCCCCAAATTACTGACTTTTATAAAACAAGCTTCTGGAATTATAACTTACTCAAGACTCGAATACTACAGTGGATCTGAACATTTTTCAGCATACACTGCCTTTCTTCCCTTCCCTGCCTCCATGGTGGGAGAAATTCTTTCCCCTTCTCAGGTTGGCCTTGGCCATGTAACTTGTGCAGCCAGTGGAATGTGGACAGAGTAGCAGGGTGGCTCTTCCAAGCCTAGGCCTTCAGGGGCATCACATGCTCCAGGGAGCCGAAGCCTCCCTGGCCTGGGGCCCAGAATAAGATACACGGAAAAGAGCTGTACTTGACCTGAAGGCTGGAAGAGAGCTGTGCCTGCCAATCTGCAGACCCATGAGCAAGACAACAATGCTCACTGTGATACCTCGGGAGGTTTTTGGTTTGTTATTTTTGTTATTTGTTATGCAGCAGAAGCAGACTAAATACAAGGACAAAAAAAAGTACCTCAGGCTCAGGCTGTGAAAACAGCTAGATAGCAGCAACTCTAGAACTTTTCTCAGCAAAAACATATCTGGAATAAGTATTTAGCCTTCCAAGTCAACCATGACCAAGCGGACAAAACTCATAAAGATGTGTAGTTATTTTTGTATTAATTTTTCACCTGAAGATATTTTTTTCCCCAATGACTTTTAGAGAGAGTGGAAGGGGCAGAGGAAGAGAGGTGGAAACAAACAGAGAGAAAGGGGTGTGGGAGAGAGAAAGAAACACTGATGTCAGAGAGGAACATCAACTGGTTGCCTCCCTCACGACCCTGACTGGGGCCAGAGATAGAACCTGCAACCCAGGTAAGTGCCCTTGACCAGGAATTGAACCCGTGACCCTTTGGTGTGCGGGATGATGCTCTAACCACTGAACACACCGGCCAGGGCAAGATTTGTAGGTTTTAGTTGTTAAAAATAATTCTTTCCCTGAATTGTCTTATATACAAGGATGGACAAAAGTAGGTTTACAGTAGTTTGTATACAAAAGACATGCAGGTTATGATCATTACAATAGCTTTACTAACTCAAAAGAATGTATGTACGTAAGAGCATTTATAACTGTTGATGTATATATGGACAAACATATATGATGACTGAGGCATTATATGGAGTCAACCTTGTTTTCCAGAGAAAAATGAAGAGTAACTCTTAACGTGCTACACTTTCTAATGTTAACTCTTCCTTAAATAATGCAAACTTTCAAAAATAGACTTTGCTTTTCTTCCTCAGTAAATACTTTTCAATAGAGGCAACAGGAATCGCTGCCTATCTTGCACCAATAGCCCATCTTCTGCTTCACAGTCCTAGCCTGGGGTCCTCCAGCAGCTCCAAGGTTCTGAGCTGTGCAGTTTGGGGCTGTCCTTTCTCTGAATGCCTGTGGGGATTATGCTTCATGCTTAAGTTTCCCCTAGTCCTGATGTCATTCGCTCTGCTGCTGCTTCTTTTTTCTTGTTAATTCTTACCAAGGATATTTTTCCATTGATTTTTTAGATAGAGTAGAAGGGTGGGAGGGAGGGGGAGGGAAGAGAAGGAAGAGGGGGAGGGGGAGAGGGAGAGGGAATGAGAGAGAGAGAGGGGGAGAGAGAGAGAGAGAGAGAGAGAGAGAGAGAGAGAGAAAGAAGATACATCAATTGGTTGCCTCCTGCAGGGTCCCGACCAGGGCTGGAGATCAAACCTGCATCCCAGGTACATGCCCTTGCCGGCAACTGAACCCAAGACCCTTCAGTCCAAGGGCCAATGCTCTAACTACGGAGCCAAATCGGCCAGGGCTGGCTCTGCTTCTTATTCCTCAACTCGCTTCTTCCTTCTCTCTTTGGTACATTTCTTTGTTCCTTTTTCCCCTTCGTTTGTCTTCTGCTACTCTTGCAGTCTAGCACTGGTGTGCTGTCTGACTTTGAAAGCCACACTGCTGGTGGGACACCCTAAATGAGCACGTGACATTGTCTGTCATCTTTATATTTTAAGTTCTTTGTGGTGATCCCTCCTGATGTTGGAACCAGGAGATGTTTTGGGTTGTCTTGGGATAATCCGGTAGCTGAGGGGGTTAAATACTTCATTACTAAAGTTCATCACTATGACAGTCTGTCCAGAATCCTCTTCTAAGAGAAACATTTCATTCAAAGTTCCTGTTGAAAAGGAACGCCTATGGTGGCCATATTTTATTCCACATGATGCCCACCCCTTCCCAGCACAGCCGACTGGACCAGCAGCTTGGCAGAAAGGTAAGATGTGCCAGCCAGATTCTTCCTTTTAGGAATCTGATGTAGGAAATACTGACAGGGCAAATGTTAGCAGTAGGGGTTAAAGCTAAAAGAATCCATGAGTTAGTTGAAGTTCTGATAGTCAAGGGAGCAGATAGAACAACTGAACAGAAGCAATGAGGTGAAGAAAAGGCATTTTGGGCAGAGGAAAGCAGAATTGCTAAGAGCAGGTGATGCACAGGACAGAGAGAACCCCTAGGCTCTGAATGGCTTTCCATTTCCAGGCCACATGAAACATTCCATCAATCCCTTTTCTTAAGGTAATGCAAGTACATGTCTGTGTTATTTGAAACCAAGGAAATCCCGGCCAATGTGGCTCAGTGGTTGAATGTGGACCCATGGACCAAGGGGTTCAATTCCCGGTTGGGGCACATGCCCCCCGCCTGCCCCGGGGCATGTGGGAGGCAGCCAATCAATGTTCTTCTTATCGATGTTTCTTTCTCTCCCTCTCCCTCTCTCTAAAAAAATCAATAAATACATATTTAAAAAATTGAAACCGAGGAAAAATAGCAGGTAAGTCAGCAACTGTGTATCTATTGTGAGCCTTTGTCTAGGTAAATATTAATTTCAAAGGATGTAGGCCTTTGTGAGTGTCTTAGAAATAAACAGTGGGGAGGAAACATAGTTGCCCTTATTCATAACTTGGCAGTGGAGGGAACCATTGCCTAAGCATTAATAAGCTACCGTCAGGGGAAGACGGAATGAGGTTTCACTGGGAAAATCCCTGCCAATCACTGGCTGTGTCCAAGCAGAGCTAAAGCATAACATTTCTAAGACCTACAGACTCCGACGTCTATATTTGAAATTCAGAATACACTGACAGGATGGGAGCCTGGCTCCTCCTGGCCTAGGAGCACTTTCTTGGCCAGACAGCAAAGGCTGTTAATTTAGTGGTAGGAGATACACTCATTACTCACTGGATTCTGAACACCAAGAGTAGCCCAGTAGATATACTCACCTACCTATTGTTCTGGTCGCCGAGTACAGGGAATCATGTAAAAGGCCAAGTGTTCCGATTTGAGTCTCAAACAAGACACCAAAGTCCTTACATTCAGTGATGTGTTTTATATGTGCATGACACGTTCAATATTTATTAGAAGCAGATGTTTGAAGAAATGGAGAGGCTTCAAAAGCTACATTTAAATGAACGTTCAAAGTTGGAGAATTTAAAGTAGGTGTATCACAGTCTCTTTCTATAGGAACTGAAGGCATTCCAGAATCAGAAGCCGCCAGCTGCTGCAGGTGTGGAAATGACGGCTGCTGTCCCCACCCCCGGAGTGGACAGGGCAGGCCTCATCAGCACAGTGCAGGTAACTCTGCATCACCTGAACTTACCAGAAGTAGGTCTTTGCCTTGTTCATCAATGTCCGCTACAAAGTTTTCAATAGGTTGAGGAGATTTTGAGTGAAAAGCCTGCCTGGGAAGGGCAACGTCCCTAGGCCAGTCCTCTTCTCCTGGGAGTCCAATTACGCTGCAAAAGAACCACATGTGAACATGAGCATTGGCTGCTGTGCAGAAGCTATTTTCCCACCAAATTCCAGATGAAGGTAAAAGGTCTACGGGGCAGGCACGGGGGACACAGAGCTCTACGAGCCCCTCACTTGTTAACGGCAGAATTCTCATTTCTCTCTGCTCGGCTGCAATATGGTGATCACGGGGTAGAGGGTAACCTCACAGAATTGTAAAATTCACTGGGAAGAGATAAGAGGTTACTCTGAAGCAGATAGTAAATGGAAGAGATAATGAAGAAATGAAAAATATTATATTACCAATAAGCCCTGACATACTGACAGAGCAGGCCCTACATATTCAAAGTAGACCCACATGGGCATATAATATTTTCCTTTATGCCCAAGAGTGCTTTTTTGTGTTTTGATCAAACACTTTAGTTTTGACATGCTTTTATGATGCTCATGCAACATGATTTCTTAACACATAGATTTGGCTGCACTCTTGGTTAAAGAATGATTCCCCAAACAGTAATTACATACATTAGAATCAACCCCCCCCCCCACCAAAAGAGGCTAAAAGGTATGTTAGTCCTGTGTTATGTATACACTATTTTATAATTTAATATCAAATTTAATTTATATGCTTTTATTACATAACTATTTTAGGGTATTCCAAAGTGAGCAAATAAATCAAACTAATATCATTTATGTGTTCCTTGAAAATCATCCTGGGATCAGAAATGTGGACAGAGCATCAAATAATATAAAACCAGTACAGGCTTTGGAAATAGGCAGGCCTGGGTTCAACTTCTGCACCTGCCACTTATGGTAGGTAAGGACAAATTCCTTAACCTTCTATGACCTCAGGGTCTTTTTAATACAACAATGGTAATAATTTACGCTTGTTAACGAAGACAAGAGATAATTTATATAAAATGCACAGCACAGTACCAGACACACAGTAATATAATAGTATATTACCATAAAAAATGTTATTAATCTAAAATGTGTAGTCAATGCATCACTACCACCCTAAAATATGAACTGCTTGAATTCTATTAATGTATAACTTAAGGTTCTTCAAAATATTAAAAGGTCAGTGGCCTTACACAACATAATATACATTATGTAACTACTATTTATAGCTTATGGTAAGTAGGTCTGAACAAAGGAAATCAAGCGATGCAAGAACTTAAGTCTCAAATAGACTAATTCCGAACTAAAATATTATAGTTTTTTTTTTTTTTTTTTTATCCTCACCCAAGGATATTTTTCCATTTTTTGTACAGATAGAGTGGGAGGGAGAGAGAGGAAGGGAGAGAGAGAGAGAAACATCGATGTGAAGGGACACATCGAGTGGCTGCCACCCGCACGACCAACCAGGGCTGGGGACAAACTGCAACCTAAGTACGTGCCCTTAGCGGGAACCGAACCCGGGTCTCTCAGGACCGCAGGCCAACGCTCTAACCGCTGAGCCAAACTGGCCAGGGCTAAAATATTATAGTTTAGTGAGCAGGACCTATGACTATTCAAATACTGGCTAATTGATTTAAACTAGTTAGAAATGCTGCTGGCCTGCCTGCATTACGGTCTTCTTGGCCTGCACTCGCTGGCCAGGAGGGGTGTTCTGTGAATGGACTTCCAGGTTTCAGGAAGATGGGGTGGCAAATGTCACAGGACCTCTGTAGGGCGTTGTTCCCTTTCCCTTATCTCCACAGAGCCTAGGTCCTAGACCTCACCTGGGAGATCAGACACCGTGTCATAACTGCACCCCTCACCGGGTGTCTGGGGAAGGACATCCTCCCTCTGCAGGCCATGCTGGGAGAGCCATGTTACTGAGGCAGATAAGGGCAGACTCAGGGACATATTTACTGGAATACATTTACTGATAGGAAATGGCAAACTGAGCAAAATGCAAACTTGTTTCATGGCATGATCTAGAATAAGAGTAAAAAGAAGAAAAAAATCCTCACTATGAATTATTCAAGAAAATAAATGTGTATGTGTTTGGATAGAATGAGACTGGAAGAGGAACAAAAGAAGAATGCTTATTAAAGAGCTTTAAAATTTTCTTTCATTCATTTGTAGGTTTTTAGCCATTTTTTAAATATCGATATACCTGCATATAGTCAGTTACCTAGAAATTGGTTACCACAACTCTTAGTAATAATTTAAAATCTTTTATTTGCAGCTTTTAATATATCAATAATGAGTTAAGTCTGGCAATATGGGCAGCTGAATGCCAAAGCCCTCCAAAAAAGTATCTCTGTATGCATATATATGTGTGTGGTGTATAATTATATACATGTTTATATAAACAGCCTTCAAAGTGTTTGTAAATCTATCACCTCCCCTGATCCCATAACAACCTCCCATGACATGTAAGTCAGGTATTACTATTTCTGTTTTGTAGATGGGGAAACTGAGTTAGAGAAATAAAATGAACTGCTAAAGTCACACACAGCGAGTTAGCCACAGAGCCTGTATGAACCCAGTTCTCCCTATTCCAAATCCAATATTTTCTTTCTGTTTAACTATGCCTCTGGTCTTAAAAATGCTCTAAAATGCCACAGGCTAAAAGCACTCAGTTTCATTTTCAAAGTACTTGCTGTTCTTTGAAAGTATAAATCTTCCTAAACACAAACATTTTTTCCCCCTTAGGAGAACGTGAATGTAACTTTCTTAAAAAAAAAAAAAAAAAAAAATTCAGTTTAATACAGTATGAGCTTTTACGGCCCATATGCGAGGGTGGTGAGATGCTGATAGGTCCATTAAAAAGTGCCTGCATCAAATTTCAGTATTTGGACAGCTGAATAGAAGCCTTAAACACTGACATTTGTACTGGAAAGACTGACAGAGAACAAAAACCTATAAATAGCAGTGATGAGGACAGAAATAATTTTTCAAGTACTTGAGAAGTGACACTAGGGTGCAGCATTGTCCCTTTTCTCGACGCCAAAGTGATAACTGCAGCCAGAGGAAACAGAACATAATTTCAATGAAACAATGCCAGAAACCAAGAAGTAAAATCTGACGGCACAAAACATGTAGAATCGTATGGCTTCTTTCTCTGACAACCTAGGATCTCAGGCCTTTGCCCAAAGTGGAACCGGCTTCCCCTTGGGAGCAAGTCAACCACGCTCGTCAAAGGTTCCTTCTGGTCCATCTCACTGGCTTCGTATACCCAGGGGCACCAAGAGTGTTAACAAGATTGCAGAGGCCAGGGCTGGAGGTGGACCAGACGCCCAGGTGGTGTCAGTAAGGAAAAGCAGGTGAAGGACGTCAACGCCTGGCAAGCTGCTTTCCTTTCATCAGGGTCACTGGTGTATGTCTCACTTTCCCAGTTAGCTCTTCAAAATCACATACACACAAAATATATTCAACCATGATGGAGAAGAGTGACAGGAGCTCATCACCGAAGGGCAAAGAACTTGACATGCAGAAGCCAGTTCTGTCCTGAACCCACCCACCCGACAGAGTGGGCAGCAGCAGCAGCTGTGGCAGCTGTCCTGGACCGAGGCAGCCCCCAGACAATCAAACTTGTGTTTTTCACACCTTAAAGCTACCAGCTCCTGACTCGGCAGCGGCACGGGCACTAACAGATGTCTATTGGTGCTTCCAGTCGCCAAAAGAACAAAGTCAGGTTCCTGTTGTATTCCAACAATTCCAACAGTTTTAAGCAGTCATGCTTGAGTGGATAAGTTTAAAATAGAATTCTTTTCTTTAAGGGTACTTCTGCCTAGTTTTACAGACTGCAAATATCATAAAAACCACTGGGATTCTGCCCTGGCCGGTTTGGCTTAGCGGTTGGAGCGTCGGCCTGCGGACCATTGAGTCGCAGGTTCGGTTCCGGTCAAGGGCACATACCTTGGTTGCAGCTCGTGCCTGGCCCTGGTCGGGTCATGCGGGAGGCAACCGGCTGATGTGGCTCTATCACGTCGATGTTTCTCTCTGTCTCTCTCTCCTTCCCTCCCTCCTACTCTATCTGATGATAAAATAGAAAAATATCCTCGGGTGAGGAATAAAAAAGAACAAAAAAACCACTGGGATTCCTATAAAATGTCACAGACCAACAATCAGGGATATGCTGGGTTCTACAATTCCCATTTTCTTCCTACTCCACCCCGGTTCTGATGGGACTTGGCAAATGCACGAATCCCAAAAGGATGTCATACGGCATGCTTTGTGAGAAGAAAGCATGCCGTTTTCACATTCTAGAAACATGAAAGCATCCACACCCTCACATGCACCCATGCAGGCATGAATGGAACTCTGTAGACCAGTGAGGAGCTAAGTAACAGACAACTGGAACCAAAGAATTTGAGCACAAGAAAGGAAATTAAAGAGAATTTAAACCCAAAGTTTCATTTCTCAGGTAAAGAAATTGAGGAACAAAATGGTTAAACCATTAATAATGAATTATAACGATAGCTAACATTTAAAAAGCACGGTGTAAGCTCTTTTTAGGGTATGGTAAATGACTTATTCAAGATTGCATAGTTATTTAGCCAAAGACACAGGATTAGAACCTAGGGTTCTCGTTTCCTATTTCGGTGCTCCGAAGAAAACTAGATTGTGTAGCGTACCATTCTTTGTCCAGGAAAAAAATGCAAAACCAACCTGATGACTAATGGGTACTCCATGGGGACAGGAAGCCCAGTGGGCAAGGATGGGTTACTAGGCCACTAGCACCCCACTTCTGATGGTGGATGCATATGAAATGACCCAGGCAGACAACACATCTGAACAAAAGGACAGGAGCTCAGCCAAGCAAAGACAGGAGCCGCGCAAAGATCCACACGAGCAACACACAAGCCTCCGAGCAGAGCGGTCAGGCCGCAGGGCGTGATGGGCTCTGCGTAGAACAGCATGTCTACCCCGTCCCCACTCACCACACTAACAGTAACACTGTCTGCAGCAGCAGCTTGGGGTGGGAAAGACAAGAGATAAACGTATTATATGAACGTCAGAGGAAAGTCACCGTAATTGTTTTAATGCTACAGGCACGGATGTAAAATTACAGTTATTACTTACTCCAAGATTTTTCCTAGTTGATCCACATCTGAACTTCCACGAAAAAGAGGCCTAAAAGAAGAAATATACATATTAAACAGTGAATTTTCTCAAGTTACCTTTTAATCATATTTGTCATTATCACTGTTTAACAGGAAGCAAAATATTATTTTTTAAAAAAATCCTCACCTGAGGATATTTTTCCATTTATCTTCAGACAGAGTGGGAAGGGAGAGAGAGAAACATTGATGCCAGAGAAATACATCATTTCCTTGCCTCCCACATGACCCCGACCAGGGCTGGGGACCAAACCATAACCGAGGTACATGCCCTTGCCCGAAACTGAATCTGAGACTCTTCCGTCCATGGGCCGACACTCTAATTGCCGAGCCAAACCGGCCAGAGCAAGCAAAATATTCTTTAAGGTTGGTGAAGAAGCAAGGAATCAAGACATCTTTCCTTTGTTCAATGCAAGCTTTTCTTGAATGTCAATCACAGTAAGGGCCTCTCGTGAGTAACTGGTGGTACCTGATGCCCGTGTTTTATAATCATGACGGTCCTACAATCATTGTAGCAGTGCCGCCATCACACACAGGCCCTGGCTTCGAAGTTCTACTTAACTTCATGACAGGTGGAACACATCACTGTCCTAGTCTCAAACCAGGGTATGTGGTGTTCTTTCAAACTGTTTTTGATCAGATCCTTCTAGAACACCCTCTTCTCACCACTAGGCAGTCACAGTACTTCCCGAGTCTCTCTCCTTCCATGTGTCCTGAATGCTGCAGTGAGATACCTCTGGGTCTATTTTTCTGATTATACCACTTCCCTTTCTCTCAATATTATGGTAGCATTATATGATAAGCATTCAAGTTCAAAATCCTAGCTCCGGACTTCAGAGGCATTTGTGAACACGCAGCCTCCACTGCCTACACTGAGCATTTGAGTGGCAATTAAATCAGCTCACTTGGTGACACTCTGGCATATTTCCCCCAGTAGATCAATAACCCTTGAGAGCAAGGACTTCTCTAGGTATGCTTCTAACCTTTGGCCTAGTGCTTTACCTAAACAGGTGCTGGGTTAATACATATTTTATTTGATTTCATATGCACCTATGGTATGCATGTAAATGCTCCCTAACTTCTTGCTCAGTGAGTGACATAAACAGGTATTATTTTTTTTAGAAATAATGTGTTTAGAAAATATTTGTAGCGTATTAACAGAGATCTTATTTTAAAAGTAATATATTTCGCCCTGGTTAGTTTGGCTCAGCGCTTGGAGTGCTGGCATGCAGTCTGGAGAGACCCAGGTTGGGTTTCCGCTAAGGGCACATGATGCCTCAGTTGCAGTTTGTTCCCGGCCCTGGTTGATCGTGCGGGTGGCAGTCACTCGATGTGTCCCTTTCACGTTGATGTTTCTCTCTCTCTCTCTCCCTCCCACTCTATCTGAACAAAAAAATGGAAGGATGTCCTCGGGTGAGGAAAAAAAATATATATATTTTTTTCAATTTATAAATCTTTAAATCTGATCCCTTGAATACTTTCCATGCACAATAAATAAACTCACTATCTAGGTCATCTACAAAGAATCGTGCAAAGTCATAGCATTTCAGTGGTTAGAAGAGACCTTAAAATTCTTCAACCATACTTTCTATTTATTCTTATTCCTAAAATGTTTACTTTCCAACGCAGTGGAAAATAATTTGCTTGTGGCAATGGCTGAATCGCATCCCCCCTCAATTAATATGTCGAAGCCCACCCCCTAGCAACTCAGAATGTGACTGTATTTAAAGACAGGGGCTTTAAAGAGTTAAGATGAGGCTTTTAGGGTGGACCTACATCCCATCCTTCTGGTGTCCTCCTAAGAAGAGGAAATTTGGACATAAAGGAGACACCGGGGGCATGTGTGTGCACGCAGAAATCACCATGTGAGGAGAAAGCAGGAAGACGAGCCAAGGAGAGAGGCCTTAAAAGAAACCAAACCTGCTGACACCTTGGTCTTGAAGTTCCAGCCTCCAAAACTGTGAGAAAATATATTTCTGTTGAAGCCACCTCGTCAGTGGTGTTTTGTTCTGGCAGCCCTAGCAAACTCACGCAGGCCACTTGCCCATCACCGATGCAGCCAAATTCACAAAGAATCATGGAGTTGGATTCCAACAGACATCCAGACAGGTCTTAAAGATACCCAGGTGAGAGGTGTACGTTTTAGAACAGCCACAAATGGAATCTTCACAGCTCTTTCTTATAGAGCACTGAGGCACGTGACCTAGTGCCACATGCTCCCCAAATGCGAGCTCATCTAATTCTCACAGTAAAACCAGGAGCACAATAGGATCGGCATCATCCCTATTCTCAGGTGAGGAAACGGAGATGTTTCATGACTTCCGCTAAGGACACACAACACATTGCAGCCTTGAAATTCAAACTAGGTGGGCCTAGCCCCGAAGCCCGAATGCTTCACGACTGTGTGGTGATGCTTTTGTTTCCGTTACTATATTCTCTGCATCACAGTCGGTCACAGCAGCTAAGCCGGGGTGGCGGGGGGGTGGGGGGGTGGGGTAGGGGTGACACTGCACAGGGACTGCGTGAAGAGCACTTTCTAGACAAGCCAAGGCCTGCGGGATTCTGGACTCGAACTGCTTTGCATGTGTCTAAGTGTCTTTACATTCTTGCTCTATTTTAACAAGAACAAAGCAATTCACCAGATTGACTGGGGCCCTCCATTCTCTCCAGAAACTTACCTGACTGATGACCCTTCTAGATTTTTAAATTCTTTCCCAGCCCAATCTTTTACACTTTTGGCTCACATCTTAATTGATATGCCATTTTTCTTTCTTTCCAAAGCACAGAACTTGGGTTGTATAAAAACAATTCTCTTTCTTGCCACACTCCTGTTTCCTTAATCACAAAACTAAGTATAACCAGCCTTATGAGGTTTGGGAGCAAACACAAATGACCCCTCCTTGCTAAGCACAGATCTCAGATGGCTGGAGTGGTGGGTGGCTGGTCAGAAGCACAGAGAGCCTGAGTTTAATCTGATGAGCTGGAAAAGGAGCTGTCAATATGCTCAGTCCCCCAGACTGATATCCACAGAGGCACGGGTGAAGTTACCTGCGAGCATCATGGAGCAGTTTAAAATAAATGTTGGCCCTACCCAGTTTGGCTCAGCAGTTAGAGCATCAGCCCTCGGACCGAAGGGTCGAGGATTCAATTCCTGGTCAAGGGCACATACTTGGGTTGCAGGTTAGATCCCCAGCCCTGGCTGGCATCATGTGGGAGGCAACCAATCAAAGTGTCTCTCTCACATCAACATTTCTCTTCCTCCCTCCCTTCCTTCCTCTCTCCTTTCCACTCTATCTACAAAAAAAAAAAAAAAAAAAAAAATCAATGGAAAAATATCCTCAGGTAAGGATTAACAAAGGAAAAGTAATAATAAAGTAAAATAAATATGTTGGCCATGGCTATCGGGAAGCAAACCAGGCACACTAACTTGAATGGATGTCATTCCTGGGAAAGGCAGAAGAGTAGCTCTTTCCTGGATGGGCACTAAAACCTAAGCCTGAAGCTCAGCAGCAGCAGTGGCTCATGCCCTTACTGTTTTGGTTTTCAGTTGCCTTTTTGTTTTTATTCCTTGGCATTATTCCTCACTTTTTAAATTTTTATTGTTAATACTCACCCAAGGGTATTTTTCCATTAATTTTTAGATAGAGTGGAGGGGAGGGAGGAAGAGAGAGAGAGAGAGAGAGAAACGTCAATGTGAGAGAGACACATCAATGGCTGCCTCCCACATGACCCTGACCAGGGCTGGGGATTGAACCTGCAACCCAGGTGTGCCCTTGACCGGGAATCGAACCCAGGACCCTTAGGTCTGTGGACTGATGCTCTAACTGCTGAGTCAAACCAGCCAGGGCCATTTCTCACATTTTTGCTCATTCCATTATGCATTAAATAAATGCTTACTACATTTTTAAACATCTGCTAGATGTTTTAGCAGAGGTCTTTCAAGTCACGTAGTCCACCAGCCTGCCAGAGCCAGAGGTGCTTGCTGTCCTCGAGTGAGAGCTGGCCCGTCACTTTGGTCTCCTTTAATAAAGAGTGTGGCAAGTAAAGGTCTGAATCATAATCACTCTTCTGTGAATACTCAGCAAAACCTGCTACAGGAATACAAGAAACTTGGAGGCAGCAATTCAGTGTGCAGATCATAATGACTTTGCCACCGTTGGAAGATGCGGTGTAGGACTCTGAGGCTTATTAACTTGGCTTTTTAGCAGATGTGGATTGGCTTGAATTACACAAAACCGCGGAACTCCAACTGCAATTAATTCCTAAAAAATGGATCTTCGCATGTAAATACATAGTCACAAGACAATGGAAATGGGGCATGAAAAGGAGGGAAGAGGCCAAATTGGAACCAGGACTCTCAGCTGACCAAGTGGTTGGACACAAATGTGAGTGATCAAACTACTGACTTCCTGGCTGAAAATTCAGAATATTTTGTCTGAGCTAGTTTTATGATAGAGGATCAGGAGCATGGAAAGGATTACTGGATTCAGAAGAAGGATGAAACCTTTCAACATGATGAACTCTTGGGTGTGCTATGGTGCAGTACAAAGATGTAAGAATAAGACTGCTCCAGGGACCTTGTGTGATACAATCTATTTTGAAATAAGGCTCCATGGGAAAAAGTCTTAGCTGTATCAGGTCTCTAAGCTGTGTGCACCAGGTAAAGAAGAAACACACAGGACTATACTTTCACTGAGATTATTTTGAATAACTCTCCCTTCCTCAGATTAGCTGAGTTAAATATCCCTTAATTCATATAATTTGTGGTAATATTTCAGGTGGACAAAGATGAACAGAATATTTGATTATATTCTTTGGGTTAGTGGTGAGGGAGAGTTTAATTCTACTGCCTTGAATACTTTTTTAATTGTAAGAATGATTCAGTTAAAACACACACATGCATGAGTCGGCCTTGGCTGGCTCTTTATTACCATGACATACAGCTGATCTGGAAGGAAGTGGAGAGTGGGGGGGGGGGGGGGTAGGGGGGGTGGGATAAAAGACACCGAAAGA